TACTTTTAGCTATAAAAACGCAATGTACGTGTAACGTAGGGAAAGGGAGTCCACCTGGGCTAGTGTACCATCCACAAATATATACATGGCCATGTACATGCACATGTGTATACCAGTATTAGGCCCAAGAACTGATAACTTTCTTTCCATTTATTTGTAATTTCGAAGAAGGGGAAGGTTTTAATGTATACTGTTGTTTACCCTCCCCAACCGACCCCCCCCCCAAAAAAAGATAATCTCACAAATTTAAGGAAGAAACATGACATATACCCTCCTGATTTTGTTTATTTGAGAGCAACACAACATTTTCATTGAAAAAATGGCCTTATTTCAATAAATACAACCAATTAAATGTTAATTACATGTTAACAGTTGAATAAGATTGTATTTTCTGTTTCTCTACTGTATTCTAGAAACTGTAACAGCCAAAAAGGTTCCCCACCCCCCTGTGAAAACGGGAAGACTCCGTTCAGCCACGCAAACGGTTTCCAAGACTGCAGCAAGATCACAACACGTTCTACCCAAACAGTGCATCCTTTGCAGGAAGGAGAAGTGTGTGACCTGCCGAGTCACAAGGAAGAGGAGGCAAGAACCCCTGGTCACATTTACTACCCTACAGGCTGAAAGATTGCTACAGGCGGCGGAAGACAACAACAATGAAGAACTTCTTATGCACATTGTCAAATCCAAAATGGATGTGCTGAGAATTGTTTCGGTGCATTTGTGTAATTGCTCTTATTGTTTATTGTATTTGACACTTATACATGTACTGTAATTGCAGAAATTCAACTGAGGAAGTGCCATTGCATTGGAGTGGTCAGAATAATTGATATCTGTGAAAACACATTTGTGTTTGTTTACAAACTGGCATTTAGAAAACTTATTTTTGTTTTAATTTCTTTTTCATGAAGGCTGTTAACCAAATTGGCAAAAAGATACATGTAACACTGCATAAGGTGTGTTTGAAGTTGTATTTAACCCTTGTGAATGTTTGATGTGGTGTATATTGGGATTTGGGGAATGGATAGGGCCAAAAAGGAAATAGTGGTTGTATCGTCGTTTAAAACAGAAGTTCAAGAAACAAATGTATACTAGATGGTTTTGAATCCAATTTTCTACTTAAAGTGGAATGCCTGCACACCTTAAACAACTTTTGTAAAGTTATCTGCTACTGGAAGCTGTTCTTTTGGGGCTCTTTCTTCTGGGGAGGATCTTTGTCATTTCATTTGGAATACATGAACTCATCCTGTTTGAGGTACCTGCCGTCTTTACTCAAATTGTTCATTCAAGAAAACAACACTAACTGATTAAGATTTTTCCATCTGTGTATTTCTTTTGGCTGAATGCAGAATGTCATGTACAGCACATCAAAGTTGGAATAAAAAAGTTATAGAAACAGTATTCGGATCGTATTTGTTATTTATTGTTTCAAATCGTTCTGATCAAATTTAATCTAAATTTAAATCAATTTAAGTATGACACCTGCTCCATATTAATGATGATCTTGCGTTTCAGCTAACTAGCAGCCATTTAGAGAAGATTGACTGATTTACAGTTTTTGTGGGATATCATAACAAAGCAAATTGCAAGTTCTCTCAAAATGGATTTGTCTGGGGCTCATGGGTTTTACACATTATTCTTTCATAAAGGCTTGTCATTTACAAGATATTTTATAATGTAAGGAACTCTCTGGTTATTTCAAATTGAAATTAACTGTAATAAGCATCCTGCTTTAGAAATAATTACAAATAAAAAGGCTAGAATCTAACATTAAACAAAATGTTCAGCAAGACGGGCGAACCCGCCTCGCGCGCGCATGCATTGCGTGTAAAATGTATATTTGCTGTGTCAAAAGAGGGCGCTATTTCTTTCTTTTTTTCTCATGGACAATTCGTGCGTGTTTTTGTCGTAGAATTTCTCATTCCCAAACAATTTGTTGACCAGGGAACAACGTTTTTCTTAAATGGTACACCGTAATCTACATATCTGGCAAGTTTCATAAAATTAGGTGAACCAGATCGCCTATCTCGAAAACTAAAGCGTTTTCGGGCTCTCGTAAAGCTCCTGCGAAACCAAATATAACGGTGGGGCCGGTCATATATCCGTGCGCGGTAAAATACACAAATATTCATAATAATTAACATTATGAAATGTGCCATTAAAACAATATGGGGACAACATTCATGATAATTTGCAGGAAAATAATAGATATGAATTCCTACCCAAATGTGTTTAAATGATATTATTATAGGAAACATGGTTAAGGAACTACTTTCCCTACAGGCGTGGGAACAATAAAAAGTATACGGTGAACCAAATACTCGTTGCTATTTACGCAACAATGTAAAGGAAAATTAAAGGAACGGTGGAAGTGCATGAGCGATAATTGGGCAGATCGCCACGTTAATGTAGACAACGAAAAGAAGATGACCAAGTATGGAGCCTCGAACTGAGCTCTTTCCAGGTTAACGTCGGCAATGTCGAACTTGTCACCTAGTAGGCTATTTGCCTGTGCTAAACAGTCTACTCCGGTATTTTGTGGAAGGCATTATCGTGTTGCGGCCATCTTGATTGTTTTCCATTCAAATCAACGTGGTAACATGATCTGCGGATTATTCCTGCGGATGAACTGTTCCAGTTTATATAAATAACGATAATATTAATAATAATGACAATAATAATCAGAATCGGCATTTACGAACCCTCTTAATAGCAAACTAAATCACAGCGCTTACGAATAATGAACAATTAGTTGTAAATAAATAATTTAAGTTGAATAATAAAAACAGGTATGAATTGATTATTGGCTGAATAAATGGGCCATCAGCTTTGTGAATTGCTCGAGAGATTTGACATTTTACATAGAAAAGGTCAGAAGAAAAACTAGTTTGGTTCTATGTTGTTGTTGTTTTTTTTTTTTTTGGGGGGGGGGAGTTGAGTTGTTCTGCCCGATCTGCAATGATTTGTTTTTTGTTAAGCCTTTGCCATCTTCGATACAAGCAGATCAAGGTCTTTCTTCTTGCATTGGAGGTCATTGATGCGCAAGCAGATGGTACAAATGTATGATTATACTGTATTGGTGGCTGAGTTGTCAGAACCTCTCAGTTGTGCATCTTTATTATTATCGCCGTTGTAGAAAGAAACATAATGTAGGTTTCAATATTGTTAAACGAACATCATCACTATTTTAATATTCAAATTGTTTATCGAAGATCAATAGCAAATATAATAGGACAATGCCTTTTCGACTTATTTGCATTTATCTGTAATTCAGTGCTTTATTTAAACAGCTCAAATTTTCTGTATGTTTAATTACACTTCCGATATATACGTTTATGCATCACAAGAAATTGACAGATCTAAAGGCAAGGCAAACACGTTTCATTGACACGGTCACTCACGTCTAAGGTGACATTTGAAAATTATCGTTCACCTCGACTCGAATCGTAACTGAGTGGAAAGAGAAACAATGTTTTATTTGTAACATTTATTCAAAATAAATAATTTACTCAAGATGGGCATTTCTTCACCACACATTTCTCGTATTTCGTATTTCCTCATTTGCAAACCCTTCAGGTTTGTTGTCCTTTTTATATTGTTTACTCCAAAGGTGAACCTTACCTCAAAACTACAGCCGCCTTAAGATAATTTAAAGGGGAAAATGAAGAAGGAAAAAACAATATTAGTATAACTACCTATTAGCATAGCAATTGGAAGCAGAACGTTTGAAAGCCATGCATCGGTGAGCGAGCACATGATTATGCGAATGTGTTTCAATCAATCATGCGATCACTTTGAGTCTCTAATGAATAGAGTTGGGGTTGACTGATGCACAAATAATTGAACTATTTCAATCATTTTGATCGTAGTACAGTGTTGTCCGCGATCGGTCGAAGCTTACCAGTGATATAAAAGGCTTGGCGAGGTACGGTATTTAAGGGGCTAACAGGGATGTTATTTTTTGGGCTTAGACCAACTTCTTTTGTAAGGAAACTAAACACGTTTAAATGTGCATACATAGTTCAATTTCCTCATGCGATACAAACTGTGCAAAGTACAACGAGAATCACAGCTCATTTGTACCTAAAGGGTGATGGAGCTATTCAAGGGCGGATCGGGGGGGGGGGGCAAAGGGGACCATGTCCCCCCCCCCCCTCCCAAAAAAAACCCCGAAACCAATTGGGTTTTTTTATGTGACATCGCAATAAAGGCAGGCAATGAGTACACCACCATCTTTTCCTCAAAAAAAAACATTGGTTAAAGTGGTCAGAAATTGCCTCAGATCGCACCACAAAGCATATAGAATCCATTTTTTTCGGGGCCCTTAAGCGGGCCCCGAACCCCACGCCGTAATTTTTTTGACCCACTTTTTTGCGGGACCACAATTTTTTTGGGCCCCCCAAAAAAATGTGTTCTGGATCCGCCCTTGGAGCTGTTTGTTGATTTCGAATTGCTGGCAACGACCTTCAGTACAGCTATTCTACTAGTTGTATGTGATAACAAGGAATAGGGGGAAAGAATAAGAAACACGCACGTGACTTCCTGGTTCAATGCCATCACACACTTCGGCACGGAGCACGCTTTGGTCGTTCTTTAGGTGAGGGCGCCCTACCGTTCACGCCTCTCAGACTACATCTAATCTTGACTTGCGTTATCTTGGGCATACTCTTCTTATGTCTGGATATGATAATGTTTTACACCAAACTGTCCTTAGGGGGTTTTTACATAGTATTGCAAAGCTTACAGCGTCTTGTTGTTATAATATTGGTCACCAATTTCATATCTTAAAAAAATTGAAAAAATCATGAGTAATAAACGCATGCAGGGACGCAGCACCGTAGCCGACAAATAATGACGATGCAAGGATGACATGTATTCATATCTTACTTATTTAATAACAAAATCAATAATAATACTTTTAAAGATGTTGAATTGAATTAAATTGATAATGGTTATTTCACAGAAATCGATGTGGCAGCGCAAAGGCTGAATTACATGATTTACACAAAAATACAAAGAGTAGTAATTTGGGATAAAATAACACACCAATTAAAATACAAAGATGAAAACACAACAATATCGTAAACAAACGCTGAAGAATAACATGATTTCCACAAAGGCTGAACTACATGACAAGGAAAAAAGGTGACAATTGGGTACGGCTTTTGTCTCGAAGATAAACCCTTTCAATGCAAAAGTACGAATTACAATATTATTTTTGAAGGGAATACATGTAAATGTATTCATTGATACATTGATTTATGTTGATATAACACTAAGCATGCTATTTTTCAATGAACATTAGTACCGTTTTGCATATATTAATTAATAAGGTTAACTTAAGATACTTTTTAAATCCGAATTGGGGCATGGACGCGTACAACGGCCCTGATGGAAGGTGAGTGACAATATCGGCGACCAGGGCCCGAGCCGGTTTTAAACGTTCTTGTTTTATACTGTCTCAGGCATTTATACAAAAATGATTATACACACGTATTGAAGTAACTGAATTGGCTACATATTAATGACCGCTTATCGCTTCAACTATTCTTGCTTTGCCTTCAAACAATTCATGGACCCTCACCAGTTTACATGTCAGATTTCAGCCAACAATACAGACCATCACGCATCACTCGTTCAGCTACAACAACACAGTTTACTATTCCCTGGAACTATCGCTTATGGGGCATTGTTCATTCTCAAACGCCTCTACCAAACCCTACCACAATCCAGAAGTTCAAATACGACAAACGTCCTTATTGAAGACAATACAATCTTCTCGCCGATCAAATTCGTTCACATCTCGTGTTTTTTTTTCAGTTTCACTGTGAATCTAACATTAATTGTTTGTTGATGTCAAATTTGTCAAGGGATACATGGGTTTGTCTACGTCTTCAGGGTCGTTGATGTCTTTCTGGCGATCTGCAGGAGTTTGACTGCCTCTGCCTTGCCTGTCTCTTGCACCACCTTGCTGAAGATACCGTCTTCCTTCTGAAGCAGAACGTAAGGCTCGTCAAACTCGATGAGCTGCCCTGCGTCAAGCACCTGAAAAACAGCAACAAGACTGAATGATCACCTGGGGAATTAAAATACATCACTTTCTGAATGTATTAATGATTTAAGAAAATATTTAGGATAGATAAATACGACACATCACCTCACAATGAATTACTAATGTAAGAACACTTTTTGTACTTGGTCAATCAGAACTCGATTATAATAAAATCTTACATAACATTTAATCTTACCATAACTTTGTCCGAATCCATGATTGTGTTGAGACGATGAGCTATTGTCAGAACTGTGCAGTGTTTGAACCGCCGTCTGATGGTTGCTTGAATCAAACGGTCAGTTCTGTTTGATTGAATGAAATAAATAATATAATAGAAACTTCATTATTTATATGACAATATTAAGATCACTTCAAACTGCTGCCAAATATGACTGAGGGTTTTGCCGTCTTTAATTTTCCATCAGAACTAAAACAACCGCAGATTATATCACTTTGACCATAAATGGTATGCGTCTATACCCGCAGAGAAAAATGACTCAGCTCTTCAACTCAACATGTACCCTGTAAAACAGGTGCTGGTGCAAGATAGGAACACGGTAATGAAGTGGTCTTTCCTAGATTTGTTTCAGGGTTAGAGTAAAGCTCCAGTGGTTTATGTTCGGGTTATCGGATTGTCTGTATAATTAACCATGTGGATAATACCATTTATTTAATTAAAGCGGGAGTTGCTGTTGCTCGATAATTTCTAAGCATGTACACTCACCTGATGTCCACGTTGGCTGTGGCTTCGTCCACTATGAGGATCTTGTTCTTGCGTAGGATAGCCCTAGCCAGGCACAGTAGCTGCCTCTGACCCACACTGAAATTAGTGCCTCCCTCGGTCAAGACTGCCTCCAACTTGTCCGGTAGCTCCTCAATCGCTGGTTTCAACTCAACCTTTAATTTGGGACACAAAAAGGCGCTCGTAAGAGTGGATATCATATCCACAGGTAGCCTCTTCTAGTTTTCTAAGATTCCCCATCTTCCAGAGATTTGTCTGTTGCAAGATTTGTAACAGCAATTAAGCCCCGTTGCGTGTAAAACCATCAACGATGGAAACCTTAGAATAATTAATTAGTAGGTTCACACTTTTAGACTATCAACTGCTGAAATTGATACCAAGCGACAGCTATGTGCGAGAAAAAAGGAACATTGAACAGCTGCAATTATATGTGTTGTGTCATCTCACAAGTCTGAATGAATAAACAGAGTATAGTCAACAGCAGAACACAAAACATACCTCTTCAAAAGCCCTCCATATATCAGAATCCGAGTGCCCACTGAAAGGATCCAGGTTCTTGCGAAGTGTTCCACTGAATAGAACTGGGTCCTTTGGGCATGGAGAAACAAAACAAGGTTACACGAAAAATGCTTCTACGATATCATGAACTATTCTTAAATGTTTATAGGTACACATTATGTTTGACGTTAACAAAGAACTAATCTTTAACATGTCCCAGAAAACTAGCAAAACACATGCTGCAGCCTACTCGAGAAGATTATTTCGCTTTTGTTAACACAATAATGTACAGTTTGCTAAGTTAAAGGGCTTAATTACCTGTGGGATGAATGAGACTTTCTTGCGGAGGTCATGCAGTCCTATCAGAGCTGTGTTGATACCGTCTATCATTATGGTACCTGTGGGCTCAGCCAGTCTCATCAGTACTGTCATTAGAGAGCTCTTGCCGGCTCCTGTCCGGCCTACGATGCCCACCTGAAAGCCACGATATGATGGGTGAAAGGACGGCTTTTTTAAGCCTTCGAAATTGTTCTTGGTATAACTTGGTCGAATTCACTCTACACAAATGTGTTCCAACCGGTTAATCTTAAACTAAGCTACAGTTGATGGAAGTCTTGAGTAATCCTGAGAGAAAATTTATCCAACCTTCCTTGAAAATTCATGCTGGTACACGTTCTTACCCTTATTTAATAATAACACAATAAAAAAAAACAAAAAAGAAGATTGATAGGACTGAGGTTATCGATCACATCGGAAAGTACATGTAGATTCTTCCTTCTTCCAATCCCTCGTCTGATGCCTGATTCTGACGCGCATTTTTTTGCATGTAAAGTAGAACCTTCGTTTGCATACATGGACATGTAGTCTCACCTTTTCTGTTGGCCTGATGGCGCAGTTAATTTCGCGTAGTACCAATGGCCCATCATCACTGTATCTCAGAGAGACGTCTTGGAGCGTAATGCCGCCATCTTGTGGCCAGTCTGGAGGTGGCATGTGATCGGTTTGCAACGGTGCCTCCGGTTTGATATCGATATACTGGCAAACACGCTCCACTGAAGTCATCTGAATGTACATAAATGACAGAGTGTCAGTGTATGATGACACAGATATCCTTAAAAAAAATTCAGCTTGTACTGTCGACAAAATATTCTGACGTCAAAACAGACTGAATTCTGATGAAACGCTCGAATGTTGTCGAGTCCTGCATAGACGCACTTGAGCTCATCCCAATTGCATGCATCGACTTTGGAAGTGTCCCGCTTTGAAATGAAATCTTGCCACTAAATCAAACTAAACGTTGGTCGCCAGATTAATATTGTAGTTTATCACCTCCTCTGACATCTCTCTGCTGACCATGATAGCTGACCATGATATCACCATGATTGCTGATCGTCTCGCATCTGACTTGGGTCTTGTCCAAATGCACGGGATAAACTTTGTGTCGACAGCTTTAGTGCTGGCAAAGAGACAGGGTGAAAAAAGCCATAGCCAGAAGAATGGCGTTGGGAAGAGGGAATACTGTACGGACGTACCTGGTTTTCTAACTCTGCACTCTGTCGCACCGCCCACTGGAACTCCCCCATGAGACTCATGGCATAGATCAAGGAGAGACCGACAATGCCAGAGTTGAGATCAAGAACTTTGGGGAAAACATATCGAACCAGGTTATCCGCTACACGGACTTTGGCAATTTGTTCAAACCAATAATATACCAAATTCATCACATGTGGCTGTATGTAGCATATCTGCTACGCCTTCTAAAGTGAAATAGCCCTCTCTTTTGATCATTACTAATTACCTAAAGCTGTTATAGGTGAATCCAAGATGGCGGTCAGCTCAATTCTTAGATGGTACCTCTTGTAATTAAAAGGATGCGCAAAGCTTGAAGACGAAGTAAGGACTAACATCTCTTTAATTACTTTGTCCCTAATAGTTAGTAGATTGGTCTAAGCCCTACATTCCGAACAATAATGGGTTTACCTGGTAACAGTATTTTTTTTTTCTTCAAATGTGCTCATTTGGGTGACAGTGTCGGTATTTGTACACGTGTCACTTGTGCAAACACGCATCCACATGAGCAGTGTACATACACATGTGTATAATAGCCATTGTACATGTATATGCAAATCCTAAGCACATTTGAAGCATTTTTGTTTAGTTTTACCCCAAAAGAGTCTAAAAAAGAATGAATATTGAAATTGTCCTCAACTGCTGTATTGTCTTGATTTATATCAAGTTAACTTGTCCTATAAAGTCGGATTTACTCTCAAATGTTAGCCAACATACCGATTGCCTACACACTTGAATGAATTCCTCTTAAAAGTTCGTAAATTGTTATCCGAATCAACAAACGATTGAGGCACTGTAAGTCCACGATATAGTCGGGTAAAACTTGTGTACTCATTATTAAATGTCATTATCTTCTGTTTACTGGGCTGATATAATAGGTGTAGTTACTAACTTACGATCTGCGGCAAGGATGCAGGTCAAACTGACTCCGGTGATAACTAATACACACAAGAAATCCAGCTGAACACCGAACCATCGAGCCGCAGACAGGAATAGGAACCAGGCCCTAGTGTGGCCGTCCAGGTACCCGTCAAAGTCCGCGGTGAATCGCTGCTGAGCCTTGAAGGCGCGGACGGTACTCAGACCAGTCAGGGTGGCTGACAGGTGGGAGAATACCGGACTGCGAGCTGAAACAGGTGCACATGATAACTAACGGTCAAAATATCGCATTAACAAGACGCAACTGAAAATGTGTTTGATGTCTGAAGTCCTCACGAGTTCATTAGGAAAGAATATCAGGTTTAGTGACAAGCTACATCAAGAACTGTGAGTAACTATTGCCGTAACAAACAGGTTTGGGTCCATGGGACAAAACAGGTAATGTTTCTGAAAAGAAAATAATTAACGGCCCCAATTTTGTTTAAAGGAGCAAATGGTATATTTAATCTAAAGGGGCGTACATAATTTTGCTGAAAACCAAGCTCAAAATTATCTGGAAATTTAAATTGGAGCGTAAATGTGGTATTTGTTTTCTTTAAAAAGTAAGCAAAAGTTCAAAGGGAAATGCTCCTTCCTGCTCCTTCCTGCGCTTTCTTCCCCCTGCTGGATACGTTACTAACTGTGACAGAGGTATTTTCTCCATTGTACATCATTTTACATGTGGTCTTGTGATCATGCATTTCAACGTTCAAGACTGGCCTACCTTTTCCTTCTAATCTTTTAACGTCTCGAGAGGAGGCTAAGTAGTACTTCCTTGTGAAGTGAAAGACGAAGCCAATCGGCAATGTGAAAGCGAGGCAAAAAGGATTGAAGATGGAGATCACGATGACAGTTGCAATCGCACCTAAAGAAAGCTGGAGAAGAAGATGAAACAATGACATTAATTAACAACAGGAAATGGAGGCATTGACCATCAGGTATTTTGATTGACTTTTCAAGATACTCAGAGAATCAATATTTAAGTAAATACAATTGGTTAGAAATTGTCATTAGAAGGCAACTTTTTTGTGTTTTTAATATACAGATAATATTGTTTGTGTAATGTGTACTTTACCTCAAGGAATTCGGTGAATGTGGATGGCAAAACGTCATCCATGTAGCCGATATCCTTAGCAAAGCGATTCAGAATCCGACCTGGAACCAAAATATACATCCATCGGGTCCATGCATTTGTGGCAGGATGTTTACATTTTGCCACCGTGCAGGCAATATGTGGTATCAAAGATCTCCCATGAACCCCTTCGAGGTTGGCGTAGAGCCCGAATCAGATCACGTGCCCATTCGGTGCACACGAATGTCTAATAATGATCCATCCAACTGTGATGTGGGTATGTGTGCAGGCCCTGCAGTATGATTGAACAAACTCAGGGCCTCGATGATGTACATATATAACGCACAAAATTCTTTGTTTTAATGTAAACTACAAAAACATGAACTTCTCATTGCCTTCAAGGATATCGATTGCACTTGACCAACGCGGTGATTGATTATGACAGTGTCTCACCCACGGGATTTGTATCAAAAAACTGCATGGGCGCTCTGATGATAGCGTCAAACATCTGGTTGTGAAGAGCCTTTGATGCCGTAACAAAGACATGATAGAACAGAAAGGCCCGAAGAAACGAGGCGGCGGTGGTAGCTCCACACAAGATGGCGTATATTCTGATGTAGTATGACCGGTTGCCGTACTCCGTACCGTCCTGATAATACTGCAAAGAGGACAAAATGAAAAAAAAAAAACAGTAAGCTAGGCCAAGCGTTTTTGGAGGTGTTACCTGTCACATTACTAACATTTGAGTAATCGTTTGTTACAATAATCACTTTTTCAGGCCTGATTGGAATTGCATTCAATGTCATCGCTACGTTCTTCGAGGCGCCCTTGCTCTCGTGAGTAGTCTGCACAGACAGTTGAACTCTTGGGGGATCAAGTTAAAAAAAAAAAAAAAACCCAGAATTAAAGTTTGCGCCTACTCGCTAGCTTTCAAAACTCCTGTCCTTTTCAATGTAACTGCACGTATCTTGAGTAGATCACACACCAACCTATACATACCTTTCACGCGCACATCTCAGTACAAGAACACACTTCGCTTCTACGGTCCCAGTCTTTTGAATAGCATTGACCAATCAAGTCCAAAACCTCCATGGGCTCTTTTAAGAACTCCTTCAAAGAGTATCTTATCTCCCAATATGAAGCATAGATTGTTTTTTTTTCCTCCTTTGGTTTGTTCTCCAGCGTTGCCATCTCTTTTCGCTATTTTTATGGGTTTTTTTCCCCAGTCATTTTTCTTGATCTAAGTTCTGGTCAGAATACTTTGTCCCCTTGTTTATCTTTGTCTTTGACTTAATTAACTAACTATTTGATTATTTCATGTCTTTGTTCTCGTTTCTAAAGGCACTCCGCTACAAGCCTTGGCTTATTAGGATTGTGCCTCCACAATATTGTATTCTGCTTTCTATTATGTTATTTTTTAGTATGGAAATAAATGTAATATTGAATTGAAGTGAAGTGAAGTGAACTGGACTGGACTGGACTGGACTGGACTGGACTGATCAAGTGCACTTTAGTAAATGCCTAGGTACGCCATACCTTTCCTGATACTGATCCTAACCGTCAACCAACCTGACTGGTAATATTTCTGTCCACCAGATCGTTCTCTTCTTCGTTTGTCCACATCGCTAGCCAGACATCCGCGTAAGAAAGCAATGCCTTAAACCAAAAGCAGAGAAGCAGAAACTGTAGCCTAGATGAGCCAATTCTATAGAATGCCGTTTATGTTTGTTATTTTCAAACAAACACAGTATTGTAACGGAAAGGGTAGGGACTTATAGCTAGTTTATTTACAACGTCATCCCTATTGCACTAACGTAAATTCACTGTGTGTTGGTGACTGGGCGGAGCGTAAGAGCCTAGTGGCTGAATGCGCGTACGCTATTGGTTGCCTAAGGCCCATAGGTTTAGTACATGCATATGTGTTTGTACGGCGTATGCTTGTTCACGTGAGGGCTATTCACGTGATCGCGCGAAGGTGTTGTGCTGTGGACAGCGGACAGTACGGTCGTGTATTGCTCGCGTTCTGTGTTTTAGGTAATGCTGACGCGCACTGTGTAAGGCGCTGGCCCTGACTGTGCTGAAGTTACGCTGTGTGATGCTGACGCGCAGCCGTACAAGTGAATGTACGGAACGATGCTGACGCTAGCTTGCATGGGTAAGGCGTAAATCAGGTTAAGGCTGACAGCGTGTATTACTTACATTGGCGTGCATTGCTTACATTGGCGTGTGTTATTTACATTGGCGTGTGTTATTTACATTGGTGTGCATTGTTTACTTAGGTACATTGTTTACTGAGTGAACGTTGCTAACTTGGTGTGCATTGTTTACTTAGTGTACATTGTTTACTGAGTGAACGTTGCTGACTTGGTGTGCATTGTTTACCGTAGTGTACATTGTTGACTTAGCAGTGCCTTGTTTACATTGGGCGCATTGTTCAAGCTGTGCGCGTTGCTGCTTAGTTGAGCTGTCAGTTAACTCCCAAGTGTAATTAAGTGACCCTGATAATTAACACCCCCATCAAAACTCAATCACTACTGCCTATTTCTTGATTATTGTATAATAAATTACGTTCATATTTGTTGTGCCGACAATCCTGTTGTCCAGGTGTATTTGTTGTTGGTTTATTGTGCAATTAACAGTGGGTAATCACAATCATCATAATCGGCGGTATATTTCCTCCAAAACGGACCTGCTCCCTAGGCCTTGAGGTCGCTCTGAGTGGTCTCTCGTCTTGGGAAAGCTTGCGTTCGGGAAGATCAGCTACACTCTAATAGGTGTCAGACTTGGTCCCAACGAACTTAGGTTTGGCCCGGGGAGATCCCCGCCACAGTATCAATGGTAACCATGTTGTCCATCAACGGTGTACCATAGTAAGCCAACAGATTATTTCCAAGCTTACTTATGATTTAGAATGACTTCCTTTATGAAAGTAAGTAAACAGATTATACAAAAAAACCTCACGACTAGTATTGAGTTTGGGGCGGCAGAAGCAGGCTCTTCTTTTTTTATCCTGGCGATTTAGAATCTACCTGTGCACCGACTACGACAATGACCCAGACGAGCGCAAAGGGGACCCCTGCAGCCGCTACGAGGAACCGGATGTACACCATCCACTCCACAGTGCCGGCCGCCATCTCCTCCGGGACGATACCAACAGGTGTCTCAACCTAAGCAATTAGATAATGCATCATTTTATGTAATATCATATCAATGAATTCCATTTAGATTGTATGCTTAGAAGGAATCCACTTGCGAATAGTTTTTGAGCATGAACCAAAGAAACGCACCCCATCCGAGTCATCTGAACAGATGGACACCTTGTCGTCAAGTCGTTCAGGATTTACATCCTGCTTATCCTCTCCATCGTAATCACCATCTTCAGATTTCTTCTTCAAAAGGGATGCAAAGTCCATGCCGTCTTCCTGCAGCTCTTTGTAGGTTCCGTATCCAGCCACCTTGCCCTTTCAGACAAGAGACAAATGTCTTAAAACAATAACCACCTTTCAGAAGAAAATAATGTTGTCATTTCTTTTCTTTCAAGACTGACGTTATTAACGTGCAGTGAACTGATTCTATAAAATAATAATTCTCAATACAGCTTTGCAGCATGTACTATCACTTTTTACAGCTACTCAAAGAGGATATCCTCAAATAATGTGAACTAAGTTAATGTAGGATTATCTCCGGAAACACTGCGAAATGAAGGCGGCTGCCAAAAAAAATATATTTTAGAGGTCGTTTTATTTAATTACCTCCTGAAGGATGAGAATCTTGTCAGCCTTGTCAATGAATTGAAGCTGATGGGTGACAATGATCACAGCTTTGTCCCTCATTTCATGGAGAATGCACCTATGGGAGACAAAGGGCCGTTACGTCTCAAGATAATGAAATGTTTCTTTAAAAATAAGTAGATTTGGTGTTTTTTTTTATTGTAGATATTCTCACTTTTCAAAGAGGTGTCTACCAACTGCCGGATCCACTGCACTCAGAGGATCATCTAGTAGATACACATCGACATCACTGTACAAGGCCCTGGCGAGGCTAACCCTTGCCCTCTGACCTCCACTAAGGGTCACACCACGCTCACCAACCAGCGTCAGGTCACCTTCAGGAAGCAGTTCGATATCCTGTAAAAAAAGAAGCTCAAGTTTTGGTATCAGCCTCGAGTTTTCATCTGTGGCTTAGGAATTATCAATAAACCTGAATTGTCAAGACAACGTGAGAGTTTTCTTTAACCTTTGTCCCGGGATGACATAGTTCAATGTTGTCCCAAGCAAAACGCGGCATAATATAAAGTCTCTCAAATCTTTCAAGAAATTGCCCCCAAATCTCCTAGAACAGAGACTGTAGACGAAGTCAAGATTTCGAAAACCAAAGAAGTGTCATGCAAACATCACCAGCGATTGAACAGCGCCACTTTCAATGCTCCCAACATACTTACTCTGGTTAGCGCACAATGTTTAATGATTCGCTGGTACTTGGCCTGCTTGTATTTGCTGCCGAAGAGGATGTTGTCTCTTAGCGAGCCAGAAAGGATCCAGGGCTGTTGAGCCGTGTAGCCAACCCGACCATTCAGGGTGTTAACTCCTGATACAGTAGGTATCTCTCCCAGTAAGGCAGCCAGAAGCGAAGACTGTCAGGAAGAAAACAATAAACACTTGAGATTGTGACGCCTACATCTGTTCATTTCGTGTATTCATTGACGTTTTACAAGCGGGGGCCTAACACAAGAGTGCAATCATAACTATCTAATCGGTCTTTGACTGACTCTACCAGTCAAGAGAAATTGTGGAGAATCTGGAGAACAGGAGAACACTTCGAGCATCTCATAACCACTTAAACAGGATGTGAGCGGCTTACCTCACCTGTAAAAACTGAAAGTTGAACTACACACACCAAAATGAAGAGTAAAGTAAATATGTGGCAAAAGTGCGACACACATGTAGACTGGTTAGGAGACTAGCGCAATGTAGGGAAATTTTCCCCAGTGAGCAATGTCACAGGGTGGAGCAAAGGGGACATCTCTATAGTCTGACGTCCAATTTGTCCGACGTCCTATTGGTCCGACGTCCCATTGGCCCGACGCCCCATTGGTCTGACGCCCCATAGGGTTAGGGTTAGGGTAAGGGTTTAGGTTAGGGTCAGTCAACCTGAACCAGTGGAACTACACAGTAATGTTTCAACGGACCAATGGGACGTCGGACCAATGGGACGTCGGACCAATGGGACGTCGGACCACTGGGACGTCGGACCACTGGGACGTCGGATCAACAGGACGTCGGAGTAATAAATTGATTTATCCAAGAAGCTCAATCAGGTCATGTGAAATTCATTATCCATTATCCAAAAAGGCAATTGTTGATTCAATTAACTATATTTCCATTGTTGTGGTCCGAATCCAGGTGTCATGCAGTGCCTATTTGACTTATTTAGGCAGAGTTAGCCAATCAGTTCTTTCGGTGGTAAACTTTCACCAAAACGAACTTGCATCCCTTAGCCTTTAGACTGCTTGTAGGGCTCCGGTTCGAGGAGAATCCACCACAATATGTCTAAGAAAGGATTCACCGGATTCGAATCATTTGGTTTACTCACCTTGCCACACCCAACAGGCCCAATGACTGCAAGCAACTCCCCTGGTTGAATTCGGAAACTGACGTCTTGTAGCACTGTGTTCCTGGTGTCCTTTTGATTGAGTTAAAAACAATTTTATATCTGACTGTGTTTTACACGACATTTTTACTTTGAATCGAATAAAGAATTCGTGGAAAAACAACGATGACACGAATTTTACTTCCATCGTTCCATCGGACAATGTTATGGCGATACTGCAGTGCCGTGGTCTCCACCTGGCCTGAGACATTGAATTTGTGGTCTGCGGGTACTTCTGCATGTTGTGGGTTCGAGTCCAGCCTGCAGCTATGGTGCTTGTGCCCTTGGGCAAGGCACTTTGTCAATTATTGCTTTTTTCCATCCCGGAGTAAATGGGTACTTTTGAGGGTAGAGATTGTTATAGTGGTAGATTTTGGCTGCTTTGCGCCTAAATGGCAGCATCGAGCTGTATGCTCCACGTGGAGCTTTGATGGTATTTGGAATCTTTCATTGGCCAAGCGAGCAGGATAATAATGATGTAGCGCCTTACTGGTGGATACGTGCGCTTTATAAATACCCGTTATGGTGATATGGACATTTTCTTGGTTGGGTCGACTTTTTGTATAATAGGGCGATGAAACTAATAAGGGCGACAGATCAAGTACTGTCGCCCTATTCCCTAAAATCGCCATTTGGACCAGTGCTAGGGATAGGGTTTATGGTTTAAGGTTGAGGGTTTAAGGTTAGGGCTAAGGTTAGGGCTAGGGTAATTTTGTGCACAAGTCTATGAAGTGTCCACCTATTGGGGTTGCTAGTAATACTATCGCAATTATACCATTTAGGTCCACACTTCAGCGTGGGAGGTTTACCATTAGGAGACGTGTGGAATTTCAACGTCTTTTAAATGCCTCAGCTCCTATTGAGAGGCAATATTTCAGTGTCGCAAACACACTGGATCGATTGCTCATGTTCCAATTAGTAAAAAAATACAAAAAAGGCGTTACTCTGAGGGAAATTGGGGTTAGGGGTGGGAAAAAGCGAATTATTTTTCAGTGCACAAGTCTATATGAATGTTTCCCGACGTGTATGATTATCGACAATATTATAATTATTACTAAAGGCAACTCTACCTTGTTCCAAGATCCGTACATATTCTCCACGACAATTTGGGCCCGTACGTCTGTCCCAGTATTGAGCTTGTTCGCATGAGGATTAGTCTCGACTGGTTCCTCTTCCTCGCTTACGGCAGTTCTAAGGTAGTCAACCAACTCACCATTGTCCGCAGACTCAATCACACTATTCGTTCTGTTTGTTTGTGCGCTCTCTGGATGCTCTGAAATGTCCAACTTATCATTCTTTAAGGTATCATCTGCTTTGATCTCGTCCAATAGGGCCGTTTGCTCTTCCAGGAAAATATCATCCATGACGTCCGTATTAGGCTCGTTTACGTGTCTCTGCAGCTCATCCATCAGCAAAAACATCTGGTCAGAAGCAAACAAGTATAACTATAGACACTATGAAAGACACCTTCTTTTGTATACAGCATACCACGCCGGACCTAGGGTGTGTTACATGTAATTCAGAGTGTTGTATTTACTAGAATGCGGGTCCTGTTCACCGTGCAGATAATTTTAACAGCCGCGACCAAAGGCTTATGGTTGTAACACATGTATAACATGAATCTGTATTAACATTGTTTTTATTAAGAGTCTACTGTAATTATCTCAAGTGTAACTGTTCATCAAGGTCTTTATCACCCGAAGTCTTTGAATGGAGTCAAGTACTCTGAACGGTTGGAAGCCAACAACCACCAATGACGGGGAACACTTTGGGAACTCGACAATTTAGAAAGTTGAGCTTCATTTATTGAGACTCGGTTCATTATAGTCTTAATTCGCCGGCGTGAGGATTTTCTCTTTGCAATTCTCACCTGAATCCTTCGAATGGAGACGAGTCCCTCCGATCCGTGCATGATCGCGAATGGGAAATTGTTGGACAGGCAAATCCTGGCGCTGTAGAACAGTGCGAGCAGGGGGAAGACCTTAGAGGGCGTGACAGGATTTCCCAGAGAGGCGTAGACAATGAATGTGATGAATGTCGTCAACAGAGCGCCATCGAACCGGAGGGCTCCAATTATTGCGTGCAAATAGGCACTGTGTAAAATCTTTCGTACCTCCTTTCTGTAGACAGAAAGAAGCAAAACTATGTACGAAAAACCATGCTTTTTATTCTGCAGAGTACTCATTTGGGAAAACCGGTTTATTTGCCAATCGTCTGACCATCGTGAATTTGAACACCTACCGAGTGTGTACTCGGTAGGTCTGCCAGTTCTAAATAATCACCTGAACTGACAGGAATTGGCAAAGGCCGAAAGGGCTCCTCACAGCAGCCAGAGGCCACAGACAGTTGAAAACAAGCCTTGTCAACAGGTAAGCTCATTGACTTTAATCCCTCATATCCATCTTATTTTTGAGGAAATGAACTAAAATCTTCCTCGCAAGCCACCAGTTACGCACACCTCTTTGCCCCCGAAATTTGGTTGTGGATCTGCCATTGCTCTGAGCAAATCTTGGAAGAGGGAATTCAACTTACGCTCGGCTTTCGGCGACCAGTTTTCCAAACGAATGTTCCCACGCGTATATCTTGATGACGCGTATGCCAGATATCACTTCATTCATGATGCGGATCCTTGCATCCGACAACAAGGCCGTTTTGGATCTGAAAGGGAGAAAGCACAATATAAACTTTTCTGCAAAGATCTGGGGACTTTATTGAGGTCGTTTGCAGTTTCAAATGAAAAAAAGAAACACTCCTCATGCATTGGAGGTTAGTAGAGTATGAAGTTATTGGTTTCTATAACAAAACATTTCACTATGTATAGGGTTTGTATAACAAAATATGCACATACCAGACAATTGCTTACTTCGAAGACATTGGTACCATATTATACTGAAAGGTGTAGTCAGGTGTAGTGGTAGTGTAATAGCTGTTGCACCGAGTGGTGATTAATGGTACTATGCTAGTAATAGCGAGCATTCTCAAGGCAATATTTGACACTGCTAAAATACCAATTGAAACGGGGGGTCTAAAACTGCCGTTTATAAGCAAACATTATCCCAATGGTTATCTGATCGACAGTTTACCCAAGAATAAGTCAAAAGGGATATCACGATAGGTTTCTGAATGCACCCAGGATTACCTAAATTTGGAAGCTAGTTTCCCAATGTAAATTTGGAGGGGTGCCATGAAGATCAAAATGGAAGTCCCGGCAAGGCAAGACACTCCGATCTCTCTCCAGGCTAGGGCGACCACGATAGTCAGCTGTAGAGGAGCTATCCAGAGGTAGTGGAGGAGCCGGAAAGCCTAACAAGAAGGAGACGAGGCAGCTTGATTCATTATTAAGCAACTTCTGACATACGAAATGGGGAAAGTATGTGGGATCGATTGGGGTTGATCGATTGATATCCGTTTTGACTTTAGAGTTGCTATTACATCTGGTGCACGATGACACAGTACCTGGTTAACAGTCAGAATGTTACATTAAATGCTCACACAATGTCTCATCGAAGTGGTGTAGCCAACAAGTAAGGATAATTTATCCTGTCCAACAACATTTTTTTCACGAGTGTTTTTTGAACGTCGCGCGATTGTCGGCATTGTTATGCCATGAAGAGCAACACCTATAGTCCGATAGTACCTATGATCGACGGCTTTTAGTCTGCTTACCAGACCAAAATATTCTGACTATTTCTGATGAATATAAGGGGTAGTACGTAGCCGTTAGTGTCACTTGACCGAAACGGGAGGATTTTCGAATACATTTCGTCGACACTCTCGGATAGCACCTGGGTAAATTTGGGTATAAAATAGGTTTTCTTTGCCTGCACTGCTCATTAAAGAGAATACGCAAATGAGTTGATAATTAAAATTCATTACTTGCATGAAACAAAAAATGTAATTCAATGAATACTCTGCGAATCAAGTATTGCACGACGGACGAGCTTCGCTGCATCACTTCGCATCACATTGGTTCCAAAGTGTTCTTTACAGTATCAAGTTGATATATTGGTCACACCCAAATAATTATCAGAGGATTCAATTTCTGCTCAATTTGTCACCACAGTTTTACAACACAAACAGTTTCCACTATGGAGTATCGTAGATAATTGTAAGTCACACGCGTTTTTTTGATTTTTTTTTTTTGGGGGGGGGCACCTACCAAATCGAATCTGTTGACGTCATTGGATAAGATGTTGACCAGTTGACCGATTGTCGTTTCTCCTAAAGCTAGGTTGCTGAGTCTTAAGGCCTGCAATATTGAGAAGGGAAAAAAGTTAGCTATAACACTTGTACTTTATAAGGACATAAAAATGTGAGAATACTGCGAGGATCCTCTTACCAATATCATATTGTGCTTAAGCTATCCTTGCTGAGATTACTAATTGAATGAATACGCATCGCTGGAGTAATCCTGTGCTCTGAGTTTGCTACGTATGGGCGCGTTTTTTGTTACTGGTGCTGTCATCTTTTGTATTTGACAACATGATGGGGTTTTGGTTTGTATTGTCACCTGGTCTGTACACAGTATGCCAGGAGGTGAGATAGAAACATTTTGACCGTTTGTGACCTCTTAAATAGTAGGAGGATTAGTACCTTATACTGATTGAACGGTAGGCCTTATAGGGTATTACACCATGCTGGATTTACTCCATGTTGGTTTCACCCCATGCTCCAATTTCCTACTTGAAATCTTGAATCACCTTTCTGAAGATGAGACCCGAGCAGGCCGTCCTTAGCCTCATTCCTGTGATCCAATAGCCGAAGTAGCAAAAATGGCCGGCTATAAGTATGAGCAGGGAAGACAAGGACATGCCCAATGCTTGCAAGTAGGCTTCCGTGGTCGACACGAGGTCCGTGGAGAAGTACAGAACAAGACGACTCAGCATCACTGGCTGGGCCATCTTCAAGACGACCTAATGTTGATAATATCCACATCCAAAACACATGTATGAGAAGTAAGACAGATATCAGAATAAACGAAACACGGGTTGCATATACGAATTTACGATTTATTGTTGAAACAACCTTTTAAAAGTTTCTTATAATGTAAACAGCATTTAATATTGTCCGTAGTGATTTGTATTCAAACATGTACAAACACTAGACCCATTCCTGACAACAAATTGTAGGGGTGGATTATAACTTCTTCTTTTTTTGCGGAATCCCCGCTGCCATTTTTAAGAAAATATCGTTGATTATCCATCGGCCCTTTGACCACGGCAACCATCATCGTATTAGCAGCGATACCTACCTCAGAGTGAATACAGTTCATAAATCGCTGTAGAAATTGTGCTTTATCATTTTCATTGTCCCCGGGGATTCCAATCATTGTAACCTTAAGAAGGGTTTACCCAAGCACTATTAACATGTGGATTGTGCAACTTGCCAAAATATAATCCTGGACCATTGTTGTACAACAATTAAGGGAGCCTGCAGATCGCTGAAGCGAGCCCCTTTTGGCAACTCAGACTATAATGTGGAACTCCTGGTTCCAGCACATAAGCAACAGCTTAAACGCCAGAAACCAGATGAATGCCTTGTTCCAAGGTGGACATATGAGGGTATTCAGCGACTGCATGCATGTTTTGCTTGAACTGAATCGGTCTTATTTACAGAAAGTGCAGCTGATTTGGATGAATGTGCAGAGTTCACAATGGACTACATCAAGTTGTGTGAGGAGCTGTGCATTTCAAAGAAAAAAGTGACTCGATATCCAAACGACAAACCTTGGTTTGACCGTTCAGTGGACTCGGCACACTGCTCCAGGGACAAGGCATTTGAGTGTGGACAGGTCAGCTTTGAAACGGGCAAAATATGCCGTCTGTTAAGCAATAAGTGATGAAAGAGGGGACAAGGAAACAAGAACAAAAATGTTGCTGTTAATTTCATGGGGGCTGTTAGGGTGAATGTTCCCTTGACCGCGCTCGGTAAAAAGAATATGTCGAGAAAACGAAAGAAGTTTTGGGGAAAAATACTCCCCCCCCCCCCCCACCTCCCTCTAGGAAAAAAATCCTGGCGACGTCCAGGAAAACAACTTCTACTTTCTGGTGACCGTTTTCGAGTCGGTTTTATATTCATTTATTTTCTTTTGAAAAAGTTCCACAGATCTCTAGTGCAATAATTCACACTAAACAGATGGTTTTGGTTACCTCAATGAATGCAGGCAAACCATGTATCATGTAATGCCAGCCAAAAGCTCTAAGCAACGCCCATCGAAGAGACGAAGGCTTTCCCGTGGCTTCACTTTTCTTAATTTCTTTATTCCACTCCCTGCATGGAGAAGGGATTCCAAAGATCATACTTGACATACCCACGATAACATACAATTAAGATTTACAATAGTAAAATATCATATTGTTTTCACTCTCCATAGTTAGTCAGATGTAGATGTACTTGTTCATATTATTGTCATTGATCTGAAAGCCCTTAGTGTGCTCAAAGACTATTGACACTTTGTTGCATACATTTTATTTTGTGATAGGGTATTGCACTGGCACATACTTTACCTCTCGAGTTTACCGACCACAATAACAGCGGAGTCGTCAGGCAGAACGTCATACAAGTCTGTTTCAACAAGAGGTCTCTTGTAGCCTCGACGGAAGAAATTAAACATCCAGCTTCAAGAAGAAAATGATTATGTATGGAATTGAAAGCAAAGGAGGTTATGAACATTACAATACGTGATTGTGTCAGTATTTAATGCGCACTTTGTGTTTGATTTAGTATTTGCTTACTTTCCATGTAGAATTACTGAATCGTTTTTTTTTTCTCAGTGAAATGCAAATCAAGGCAGCAGCAACTAGCATATCAAAACGGAAGGGTAATTGTTCCTGGCGGATTGTCTAAGACTTACAGTTATGATGGTTTTAGACAGAAAAAAAAATCAGTGGAGTGTCATGGCCTAGCGGTTAAGAACACCGGACTCATATTCTGGTGTTTCAGAGGCAACAGTGACGTGGGTCAAGCCCGCCGGCGGACACTTTTGCCCTTAAGCAAGGCACTTAACCATTCCTGCTTCATCCTTCGGATGGGACATAAAGCCGTAGGTCCCGTGTGTTGTGTAATGCACGTTAAAGAACCCATTAAAACTTGTCACTAAGAGAAGGGGTTCGCCCCGTCCTGACAGTGGCCGCAGCGCCTTGTAAACCCTTATAAGGTGCTACATAATGGGTCTCATATTTCTCATGTACTTCATTCATCTAATAATATACATAACTCCTAGTGCCTTGAGTACCTATACTCCATTGCGATAATGCCTGAATAGGTTTCTGCAACGTAACCATACAGATACAGATCAGAAGATATATCGTCAAAAAATTGTTATGTATAATTTGCTTATAAATATGTATTTTATACCAGAAAATTGCTGAAAAGGTTTTTAACTTAAAAAAAATACGCTTAAGATTTTCAACAAAACACAAAATGCCCCAGTATGTTAAAGCAAATCGGTAGAAACAAACTCCACTTCAGAATCACATTCACTAACTGACTAAAGGTTACAGTTTACGGTAACAGAAAAACACTGTACGAAATGAAGTGGCGCGTCATTGTGCAGGCCTACGGGATACGTAGGCCATCAGCCTCGGTCCATTGTTTTGGCCACCGGTATCAAATGAGGGGAATAATCGTCATAGCGATTTTTGGCAATGTATACACCTCCGGAGTTGAAAAATATGTGATAGCATTGCAGCGGTGGCAGCTTTTGGGTGTTATCACCTTTTTTCTCAAAATGTCCATCAAAATGCTTGTTACCACTCTAAGGGCGGTACACCTTGCGCATGCTCACTATAATAATTTATGTCCTGATTTGATACCGACCAAACCCCCAGGCTGATGGCCTGATGTGGTGTATGTGCAGGTATAAAAGGGTGCATAACTTATCTTACAAGAATACTAATTTTGAGAAGAGACCAGCTGTCTTCATGGGGTGTGGCGGTCTTCTGACTCCGGAGGGGGCTTTGACGGGCTCATCCTCAGTCTGCGCGAAATCTGAAACATGTCTAGGTTTGATGTCGTAACCCGATGTTTTGGACGAAACGTCGACGTTATGGGCCGCCATGACGGTGCTTGCAATATGACATGCGAATAATTATTATTGTATATTGTAGCAGTAGTGGTGCTTGTTGGTAACAGTTATTCTTTGCAGTGAAACGTACGTTCCCTTGGTGTTATTGCACAAAGATAAGGTAACCAATACGTGTACACTTACGTTTCCCATAATACAGAGTTCAAGTGTAATACAGTTGACATATGCACAATGATGTATCCAGGACTTTGGTCCAGAGTATAAAATTGATAATTAAAGGGACATTACGGCCTGAAATCCCCGAATATTTCATGTTCCGGAAAGTTAACTTCAACTATTTTTAAAACGTATGGTTGAAAAGGAAACAAAGCTTTATGTCTTACCGTTCCCGAGAAAGGCAAAACTTTGGTAGTTGTGCATAACTGTCGGTTCTGAACAGCGCCCCCATCAGCCCCTGGTACCAGCCAATGATGTTGGTATGGTTTCGAGGCGGGAAGTCACTTATGTGACTCACTTTGAATATGAATTGCGCCCCCTGTTGTTTTCAAACGAAACTTAATTACGACTTCTTTAAAGAATTTTTCGACGAATTCTTGCACGTGATCAGTAGCTGTACACTCATGAGGGCACCTACAATGGAAAAACCATTGTGCACGCTATTGTACTCAGCAATTGCTCTGTGATGGATTACTTGAACAGCTATCACACGATTTTGCCACGGAAGGGGGGGCATTCGTGATACCATTGCTATAACGTGCTCGGATTGGCCTTCAGCCGCAAAAGCTTATGCATCGACGCAACTTGCTTTGAGCTGTGCAGAAAGTTGCACGTGATCATCTTTCTCAACCATCCTTTTCAGAAGTATTATAAGCTCTTTTTATCAGATCAGTTATTTTTCTACATGGGATATAGAAGTCCATTTCGGTCTGTTACGCGTCGTGTCTCATAAGTTTGGTAGTGATTGATGATTCTATTTGGTAGATATTGATGATTCTATCTTGGTGGCGCTTTTCAACAAGCTGAAAGACTAAACAACACAAGTTGTGGCATTCCAAATCATTTAATTTACGAATCCAGAAAATTTATCATTCGGTTTTCTGAATCGCGTTGATTAAATGTAATGGTTATATATATTTATTTTTATCAATTTCTGAGATACAATTATTTGGGTTGGATTCTTTTATCGCAAAATTCAAGCTCTTCCTTATGATTAAGGGTGTCTAATACCGAGATTTAAAAGTAAAACAACCACACAACTATCCTTTAAAAAAAACTGGGCGCTGTTGTAGTCTTATTGTGTTATTGTGACTTTCGGGGTCCTCTTTTGCGACCCCCAAAAATCGGGCTGTTCGTGCTAGTTGTGATTCCATCCGGAATTGTTTGCGTTTTGCGGATGTGTAAGAAATCACACACCGTGCCGTGCATTGGTGATTGGTCACTGCTGTTCGTAAGCACGGCGTTGGGTAAGTGTGGAATACCAGACACACCAAACGTGTATTGTACATTGTATGAAAACGACAGGAAACACGTTTTATACTCCGTCGTGTCCGATGTAAATAAACCGTGGTTTGTGTTTGTTGGTTTTTTTCTTGGGAACGGTAAGACATTATTAGTTGGTTTCCTTTTCAACCTTGTTCAACCTTCCTTTTCAATGTTTGAAATATGATATTCAAACAATTCAAAGCATGACATTTTTGGGGATTTCAGGGGATTTCATAGCGTTTTGAAATAATAGACACCACCCTTTAACAGCTGGGCGTTTCTGTTTGATTCTTGCGAAAACCATGCAAGAACGAATTTCGGTGGTCACAATTTTGTCTCCGAAAAATCGAGCTGTTGAGTGTAAACTGTGATCCAGCCGCACAGTGGTGAGAAACAACATTTGTGTATTGATAATGTGTGTATTATGTACCACGTACACAACGTGTGCCGTGCCGAGCCTTGATTAGACACGACATGAAATACGTATGTGGTTATGCCACAAGATGGGTATGCCAACACATGCCGAGAATTTCAGGCCGTAATGCTCATTTCATTACTCATTTTGTACTCTGGACCCAAATCATATATACTCCATTGTTATTTGTTCCTATGGACTACACTCGAACTTTGTATTTTGGGAAACACACGTGTACACGCATCGGTGACCTTATCGCTCGGCAAGTACGTGTCACTGCAACAAAATAGCTATTAGAACAAGCACCTATATTCTGACACGATAGACAATCATTTATTCATTCCATATTATATTTCCAGCACCGTCATGGCAGCCCCTAAAGTCCGCGGTTCATCCACAACGTCGTGTTACGACAGCAACCCTAACCAAGTTCCAGATTCGACGCAGACTGAGGACGAACCGGTCAAAGCACCCTCTGGAGTCAGAAGACCGCCACATCCTATGAAGACAGCTGGTCTCTTCTCTAAACTATTTTTCATGTAAGATAACTAAACACCATACCTGCACATTGACCCATACCTACTTTATACTCCCTGTATTGTTATCTACATTTCCTCCTTCATTTTTTCTCCTTAACACAATAAATTATCCTTTTCTTCATGAAGTTGGATGTTTGACTTCTTTCGTCGGGGCTACAAGAGACTTCTTGTTGAAACAGACTTGTATGACGTTCTGCCTGACGACTCCGCTGTTGTTGTGGTCGGGAAACTCAAGAGGTAAAGTATGTGCTAATGCAAAACCCTATCCCAAAACGAAATGTGTATATAAAAACCAAGTGTCAATAGCATTTGAGCACACTATAAGCTTTCAGATCAATGACAATAACACGAACAAATACATTTACATCTGACTACCCGTGGAGAGGGAAAACAATGACTATATTACAGTTGTAAATCTTTATTGTATGTTATCGTTGGTAGGTCGAGTATGATCTTTTGAATTTCATTTCTCCACGCAGGGAGTGGAATAAAGAAATTAAGAAAAGTGAAGCCACTGGAAAGGCTCCGTCTCTTCGATGGGCGTTGGTTAGAGCTTTTGGCTGGTATTCCACAACACACGGCTTTCCTGCATTCATTGAGGTAACGAAAACCAGCTGTATGATGTGAATGAGTTTACTACCTTCCACAAAAGAGATATAGGGAGACATTTTTCAAATTCTTGGCAATTAAAACGCTAGACATTGATTACATGAATAATATATCCGATTCGAAGTCAGTCACCTAAAGTCCAAATCATTATTCTGGGTTATGTAATCCTAGGTTATTTACAACATTTTAAATAAAAGCATCTTTTAAATGGTAAACATTCAACACCAAATTTATGTTAAAAAACGACGGCGAGCACTTTCTACAGCAATTAATGGGCTTGATTTACCTTAAGGTGGGGATCTCTGCTGATCAAGGGATCGATATCGAGGCCAAAGGGCCGATTGATAATCAACGATAATTTTCTCAAAAATGGCAGCGGGGATTCTGATGCAAATAATAATCTTCGCCTACAACTTGTTATTTGGATTGGTCTCGTGTTTGTAAATAATTAAACAAAATTCACTTTGGAAAATAACCACAAAGGGTCCATGCTGTTTACATAAAATATAACATCAACCAATCGTAAATACGTTATTATATCAGTGTTTTGTTTATTCAGATGTCCTTCTTAATTTTCAAACATGTATTTTGGATGTGGACATTGTCAACAGGAGGTCGTCTTGAAGATGGCGCAGCCAGTGATGCTGAGTCGTCTTGTTCTGTATTTCTCCACGGATCTCGTGTCGACCACGGAAGCCTACTTGCAAGCATTGGGCATGTCCTTGTCTTCCCTCCTCATGGTTATCACCCACCATGCCTGCTACTTCAGCTATGGGATCACAGGAATGAGGCTAAGGACGTCCTGCTCAGGTCTCATCTTCAGAAAGGTGATTCAAGATCCAAATAGGAAAATTCAGTAGGGAGTGAACCCTTCATTGAGTTAATCCAGCTTAGTGTTATCCCCGCACGGTCCAATCAGTGTTCATTCGTTTTGAACGTACGCAAGACGGGCATTTACGTTTCAGCCAATGAAAAGCTTTGCTTGCCACGCTCCACCCACAGTTACCGCCCACCGTGACCGTCCACAGCCTTACTTTTATTATTCAAATTGTTTGCTGCATGCAAGAGGATTCCAACTCGTTGAGCGGTACAAAAATCTAAATTACCAAAGAGGATTTCTTACAATGAAAGCTGTCTGACACAATGCCTGCTGAATCTTTCTATCGAAGCAATTTTGCAAGTACATGTACATTGTACATGATGTGTTTTGAACAAAATCTAGTCGGCAAGGCCCAAAAAAAAGTCTCCGGTTTCTGGTATGCCTGCGCGTCGCCGTAGCCATGCGCGTCGGCAAAATGAAAAGGTATTTTCAATGAAAGATGATGTCTCAAAACCGCCAAACTCACTGGTTTGACTGGAATCCTGCTGCTGCACAATTTTAACGTGTTTTTAGATGGTGTTATGATCGAGAATAAGCTTTATGTGGCCTCTCTGGTCTCTCATAATATTTGCACCAAGTTTAGTCGGGCACCATTTGCAGTCATCAGCCGACATTTGAAGCAAAATAAACGGGTAAAAAAAACCTCTTTTTTGTCCTAAAGCAAACAGAATTACGCACGTAATTAGTTTAGTGCAGGTATATAAATTCAAACTGCAGGGAGTCCTCTCGGCATTTAAGCCTTCTGTATACATACTGCCTTTAGTCATGGATCCCGTGGCCACAATCATGTTCCTTTCTATGTTATTACTTGCTTTTATTGATAAGTTTACCCCCTGTTGATTTTTTTCTCGACGAAGAGCTGGCTTTTCTTTGGAATTATTTCAACACTCTGTTTATGGGTTTTCTCTGCACGGGCATATTTTGTTTGCCTGCACCTTTGCCAAGATTGCGCTACAATAGAAACTATTCTGAAGGCTTACGTAGGGTACAGCATACAGTCAGTATTCAGATTAACAATTTACTTGAAATGTAAGGAAAGAAAAAGGCTAAGGCAGAGTACGACTGCTATAGACACCATTATAAAGGCTTACGTAGGGTACAGTCAGTATTCAGATTAACAATACTCTTGAAACGCAAGGAAAGAATAAGGCTTAGGCAGGGTACGAGCGCTACAATAGACACTATTATAAGGGCTTACGTAGGGTACAGTCAGTATTCAGATTAACAATACACTTGAAACGCAAGGAAAGAATAAGGCTTAGGCAGGGTACGAGAGCTACAATAGACACTATTATAAGGGCTTACGTAGGGCACAGTCAGTATTCAGATTTACAATACACTTGCCACGTAAGGAAAGAATAAGGCTTAGGCAGGGTACGAGCGCTACAATAGACACTATTATAAGGGCTTACGTAGGGTACAGTCAGTGTTCAGATTAACAATACACTTGAAACGCAAGGAAAGAATAAGGCTTAGGCAGGGTACGAGCGCTACAATAGACACTATTATAAGGGCTTACGTAGGGC